TTATATTTCATTCCAAGATCAATCGAGAAATGCATGATAAGATCAATCGAAAGATCATAATATCGATCCTTCTTTAAATCCATTAATCAATGTCTTATCCATGAAATCTAAAATTATCGATCCTGCCCTTGAATTCTTTTCCAAGATCCAACCAAAAGATTCGAAAGATTATCTATTCATCAATCCGAGAATTTCCAATAATTTAATATAGTATTAAGTAGCAAACCCAAAACATACCTACATCTCCCCCTCCCCAATTGATTTTGCTATCTTTTTCTTCGTAGAATAAATAATTCGGAAAGGTCATAATATTCCATAACCAATTCTATTTTAAAAATCCTACATTTCCCCTTTTTATGATAATATAAGAATTTTCTAATGAATCTCATTAAAAAAGATATTCTGCCAAAAAGACAAGACATTTCATAATCTTGAATATCGAAGATAGACCATTCTCCGGGACAATCATAAATAGAATTGACTTTAGAAAAGCAACGCCAAGTATGTTGGCAGGACGAGAAATCGAGGAAACGAAAAGAGATTCATCGAAAGATGATTTCGTGATTTCCATCGGGGGATGGTTGTTTGGCGAAGAATTTTATGACCGCACGAATTTACATGAGGGATTGTTTATATGGCCAAGGCACTTGATGCGTATATGCCTCCATGAGGGATGAGCAAGTCGTATATGGCCAGGGCGCCTGGGGCTTTGCATGACCGCATGATATGCACCAGGGAAGGTGTATATGGCCAAGGCAGTTGATGCTTCTATGCGCAACACTTGAAGAAGCCCTGCGGTACTTGAGCTGCAACAAGCGTCGGTACTGAGGCAGCTCCGCAGAACAAAGACCCATACAATTAAACTCAATTAAACTAGAAACCCTGGCCCTAAGCAGATCGGGAGGTTGCTTTCTCCCCCAAAACCAGCCCAAAACTCCATCAGAGCAAACCCCGCTTTTCGGCTCGAGATCGGGGGTTTGCTTTCTCCCCCCAAACCGGCCAAAAAGCAAACCCCGCTTTTCGGCTTGAAATTGGTTCACTTACCATGCAGCACTGTGTGCTCCACTTCTGGGAGGGCCTGAGCGGGGCGATGGTTTAGGGACAGCCCTCCAAACCTGCTCCGCCACAGGTCGGGAGAGGGCGCGTGGGGCGTGGGGCAAGTGGGGCAATGTGGGGCAATGTGGGGCAATGTGGTGCAACGTGGGGCAATGTGGGACAATGCGGGGCAAGTGGGGCGAGTGGGGCAAGCGGAGCAAGCAAGTGGAGCAAGTGGGGCAAGTGGGGCAAGTGGGCATGCAAGTGGGGCAAGTGGGCATGCAAGTGGGGCAAGTGGGGCAAGTCGGGCGGGCTGCTTTAATGTTCCCCCCCTGCGGTCGCAATGCAAAAGCCCACAGAACTTCGACGCATGTCGATGCGCATCTTCAGGTCAGTAAATCACAGTCTCGAATTTTCCGCTCTGCGCCCAACCTGCTTCTGCGGCATGGACTTGTGGCCCACAGCCAACCCAAACCCTCTTACAAGGGTTTACGAAAATAGGGGTACTTAATTGGTGTCCTTATTATAAGGGGATCCTAGGTTTATATTCGGGGTCCCCCCCCTATTTTCGTAAACCCCCCTATACTCATAAAACTCAGATCAACCGCTTCTGGTTCAACTTCTCGTAGGCCCGGGCTGGGCACCGCCTCGGCATAAAAGCTTCCGGCGCTGTGTCAGTGTGTGTGATTGATGGGCTCTCAACCTTGCACCCTCAACCCTCAACCCTCAACCCTAAACCCAATTGTGCCCTGACAACTACTGCGGGCAGGGCTTGGCAGGTGCCCTCGCAACCCTCACAAGAAACGCATCTTTACTTGTGCTATCATGTGCTCCTAGTCAGCTAGCTGTTGCTGGAAATGGAAAGGAGGCCTGCTTCAGGCCTTCATTCGCGACACTCGTGTCAAGTGTCGTCGAGGCCAGAATTTAAAAATGTCTGGGTTTCTGCCTTGAGCAGCCCCTTTCGAGTTGTGTGGAACCTGCCAAATCAAAGTCACGTTCTCAAGGAATCTCAGTCTGCGTGGAGTGCAGGGACGGCGCATGCCCAGTGGGCGCGGAGGCAGCCGGCGTCCGGGGTTTCTTCGGTGGCTGTGGCTTCGAGTCACTGACATCATCGCGGCGCCCCACTACTGGAGCTGGTGTCACTCGGCTGCGTCGACCCACAGCCGGAGCTGCCTCTCTTATTTCCTCCCTTGCCGTCCTCGGAACAACGGCGATTGCGAGTGCGGAGGACAGCGATGTCAGCGCGAGGGCACCGGGCAGTATAATATGGAGGCCTGGGTTGCTCCACTCCACACCAACCATCTTGGGATCTGGCAAGTCCGGGTGCCTTGTGAAACATAGCTGCCCTGTTTTCAAGGTCTGAATGCCCAAGGCTGCCTTCTCTATGGCACCAATCTCGTCAACAAAAGGTTCCGTGTTGAACCTTAAGCTGAAGAAACTGACCACAGCTACCAGACCACCCGCACCATGGGTGATCAACAGAAACCCCAGCTTTGCGGTAAGATCGCACAAGTCCGCTGCGGCGATTAGCACACCAGTAGCACAAAGCCCAAGTGCAGCCACGATGATGCTTGCAGTTGCCATAATTGCTATCCTGACTCATGGTTGGGATAGTATAAAAATCTTAAATTCATATTCCTGATTGGGTTTAAGTACCCTAAAAAATGCAAAATGTTTCCCAACTATGACAAAGTATCCACACCGCCAAGCCTGTCAACCTCGCAAACCTGGGTTGTGGTCGTGTTTCTTCATTAGGCAACATGATTTCAACCCTAAACCCTGAACCCTAAACCCTAAACCCTAAACCACCAAGAAACGAATCATCGCCTTCCAAGTCCTGCGACGTGCAGGACGAGTCCTCGCATTGTTGCGGGGCTTTGGGTTTGCAAGGGCTTAGGGCTTAGGGCTTAGGGCTTAGGGTTTAGGGTTTAGGGTTTAGGGTTTAGGGTTTAGGGTTTAGGGTTTAGGGTTTAGGGTTTAGGGCTTGCCTATCCAGAGCACCCGGGATTCGCTTTTGGGGCCTTCGGACTCATGTGTTTAATGCCTTTCAATCTCAAAAACCTCTCTCTAGCACACTGCGCTTTAGTTGTGGCACTTCCGCCGTCTGCAGGCTTCAGATGTAGGGTCCTAAACTCAACCCTCGGCCCGCAGCCTGGTACTTGCTGAGGGAAACTGCGCGAACGACGCTCAAGAGATTGGCTTTAAGGACCAAATCCACCACGAAGCTGATGATAATGGCCAAAAGCGTGAAGCGACGGTAGCCTGAGTTGTTGTATTCTTGGGTTCAGTCGCTCGACACATCTTTTGAAGCCCTATCTCAGTACATACTTGGGGCTTCCAAAAAAAGTTGACTCCAATCTTCAAGGCACCTTGGAAGTTTGACCTCTGATGAATACTAAAGCTGATGGCCAGGCCAAAGAAAACAGCAGCAAAATCGACGATGGTTGTGCCCAACTCCACCTCGTACATCACCTGCGTTGTCAGGTTTAAGAAGCCTCCGGGCTCTTGCAAGCACCGCGTTGCAAGCAGCAGCTGCAGCAACAACGGCCACATCAACAACGACAACCACCACAGCGGCAGCATGGAACAACATTGCAAAGTGGCGGCCAAAGTTAGAGGGAAAAGGTAAAAGTTCTAGGATTCTAGCAACGATATGAGCACCAACCAACCACCTATCACGAGGAACAGCGTCCATGCCATACACAATGTCAGTAGGCTTCTGCTGGGAGTTTAGTAAGAACCCTTCACCTGGGCCACGTGCTTCAAGTGCAGCCAGTCGTCGCAAGCACCGTCCAGCCCGGGGCTGGAGCATCGGAACCGATCATCCTCCGAGGCTGCATAGATGATTGCGCGGCAGAAGCGACTCGGATGCTGTACGCACCCAAGACCGCCTGTAACCGGAGCGACGCGCTTGTCGCAGAAGTCACCAAAGAAGTCGTCGGTGCATTCGCATGTCGGGTTCCACTGGCAGAAGCGGTCTGTTGCACAATCTGGTGATGTCCGCAGCGAACTGCAGAGGTGGTTCAGGGAGGGTATGCTGCTCACGCAACCACGCCAGCTTCCTCCGTTGCTGCATCTCTCTGCACTAAGCGCTTCGAGCCGCCACCTGCAAATTATTTGCTCGTTGCACGTGGACTCCGTCGAGTATTCAGCACAAAGACTAACAGAGACGGCATCTTGGCTTTCCAGAGGCCGGCAAAGATAGGCATAGGTGACTTGCGTGTCTTCCCAGACACAGGCTGCTTGAAGTGAGCAACTTGCCTCTTCGAGAAAGCTGCTGCAATCTGCAGACAAACCCTGACGGGTTCGGCACAATGCCGGTGTACACAGTCGCCCGGCCGCGAAGCACGATTCATTGACCTGGGAGCACTCCTCTCCACTTCCGGTCTCGCAAAGAAGGGCACCGACAGAAGAAGCATTGCCACCGTTGCACTGGCACGGCGCAGTTTGCTTGGATTGAATTCGAGTGCTTGTCTGAGTCATCGTCGTGGTCACGGTTGTGGTTGCCGACCAGGGCTGTCGGCAGCACTCCGAAGCAGAAAACCCAGCAGGTGGCGGGCTGATCCACATCGACGGCTCGCACAATGCAGGGCTGAGTTCTCGAAGTGTGCTGCAGTTGGTCCTGGCTTCCTGTCCTCCATAGGTCACCCACAAAGCCGCAGTGGCCGCAACGCAAATGAATAGCACCATTCCGTACATGTACATCCACGGGCTAGTGGCAGCGCCGGATTCTGAATCTGAAGGCAAAGATTGCTGATGTGATTGCTGATGTGACAACAAGCATGTGGAGGCGAAGATGAAAGTGAGTGTACAGGTGATCGCGAGGGTCAGCAAGATGGTTCGATCCTCTTGCCACTGCTCGTGAGCTGACTCCAGCGTTTGTCTGTGCCTTATGTAGAGTATCCACAACGCTAGGCTGGCAACCAAGCAACCGCAGGAGATCAGCAGACCGAACAATGCTTTCGTCCTTGAACGCTCACTTTGAGCATAGATGGACGACGTGGCCAGCGTGGCAAGAAAGGCAACTAGGAAAATGACGGCGAAAACTAAAATCACGGTGCTTGCCTGCCGTTCTTCAGGTGTGGTTGCTGCTTCACAGCTCTTCAGCGCTGCAAGAGTTAGCACGGCCAAGGTCGCCTTGAGCGACTTTGCCATGGCTGCGGCCAAGCATTGGCAGCAAGTGTCTTCGTTCCAAAATTCCTGAAGCTCGACCTAGTCATCGCCGGCTCAAGTCTGTTGCCTACACCTAGACACTGCGTGGCTGAGGCTTCCCGTGGCAAGTGTGAACAGCCCTGAAGTGCGCGTGGTTCCTCCTGATGCCGCCTAGAGGCCTAGGGCAAGCGCTAGTGGGCTGCACAAAGTCGCACAGAGTCAGCTGATGGCTTAACTGCGTTTATGGATTCTGGGCTTCAGGGCGGAAAATGCATAAGGAGCAACATCTTGGCTATGGGTTTTGGGCTTTTGGTTTTAAAGCAGCCTATCCTGAGATGAAACCTCTCTTTGCGATTAGACGTCCGATAGGGCATCAGCCAGGGAGGATCTTTTCAAGGCTTTATGGTTTGGGTTTAGGGTTTAGGGTCTAACATGATCAGAGAACTATTCGCAGGTGGTGAGAGAGAGATGATGATTCGAACAAGAAGGAAAGCGGTGACGAGCCACATAGTGACGAGTGGGCCACTTCGCACCTGTTGGGAAGGCTCTCCACTTCCACTTGATCCTCACTCTTGTGAGTGGGTTTACATGGTCTCCGACGACCCGGGCACGCACATCTTAGCAGCCCATGGACGTGCGCAAGCTTCTTGTTCTTTCACATCTAAACCCAAAATCCAAAACCCCTAAACACGTTTCAGCACGGAGGCGGATCACCAGTTAGGGATTGCATCAAGGCAGGTGTTCGTTTCGTAGATGGCGCAGTGGATTCGGGTTGCTGGCATCTGTGCTATCCCAACCTTCGCCTACTGTGCCTTACTATGGAAGCGTGCTTGTTCCGAAGCCCTCAAGACAAATCATATATCAAGGTAACCCCTCGACTCGCAGACCAATCCTAAGCCGAAGACCAATCAGGCGCCAGAGCCTAGATCAATCGCTTCTGGAACTTCTGGCAGGCATGTGCTGGACACCACCTTGGCCGATGGCAGAACATTTCAGACATAAACTGATGGTTGGCGTCAAAGGCCCTAAATCCTGCATGACCCCAGCAACCCCCACTGCAGACCCCATAGGACGCGCCTTCTGCCAGGCTGTTGAACAACCACACGGGTCTTGCATGCGTTGGGGGGGCCTGCGGGTTGGGAGCTTCATGATTCGGGCTCTGGGTCAAGGTCTGCAGGGCCGTTTGAGCGGGCGGCAGGGGGTAAATCCGTCAACCCAGTCCGACTTCACCTTATTATGCCTCATAATATGATGTGGCCATGAAGGGAGAGCCATTGGCGAAGGTGGAAGAGCCATGGGTGAAGGTGGCAGCGATCAACGGCATGCGAACATGCAGAAGGCTGTGGCGCGGCATGAAAGGGAGCATGTGCCTTGAGTGTCGAATTTGGGGCATGTGTGACTCACCTGCCTGTGGATGGCAATCGACTCATCCTCAAGATCCCACACAGAAGCATATGGGCTTAGGGCTAGAAATGATTTGATTAAAGGCTTGGAAATACCCTCCCACCTTCTGGGCGTGGCTGGCTACCTGTCATCCGGCTGTCGAGGGAGCAGGGGCGGCAAGAGTTGGGGTCAAGGGTGTAGGGCTTCGGGGCGAGGGTTGAGGATTCAAGGCACTGGCCTTTTGGGAGCCTCCTCATCAAACGTACGTAATCACTCCCTGGGAAAAAAAACTATTTGAAGCGAGGAGGGGGGGTTGCTGTCAAGGGCTCTCTCGAAAGTTCTTGTCGTAATGTTGCACCCGGTTTAGTGTGCAGTCGAGGCGGATGGGATCCTGATTACACGGCCCCGGGGGTTCACATGATTTTAATAGGGAGGAGCTTAGATAAGTTCAAAAGGGGCAGTGATGCCCGGCTATCTTTTTTAAAGGCACGGCACGTGGAATTTTCTTACGGCGCCCGGACGATTTGTCTTTAAAGAGGGACTCCCAAACAGTCAGGGTGTCCTGAATAATTCGGCCAGTTTGTCTTTAAAGCGGGGGCCGATACTAAACCGGGTGCAACATCAGGAGCTTTCCGACTCGAGCTCCGCTACCCTTAGACTTGGATCGAAAAACAGTCCTGGGCTTCACCTGAAAACTGCGACTTTCAATGCCAAGCCTACCCCCGCAATCTGAACCTTATATATATATACACATACATGCAAAGCAGTACATCAATAAATAAATAAATACATATATATATATATATCTCTATTTATATCTTTATATATTTATATGTTTATATATTTATATGTTTATATTTGCATATTTTTATATATACACATACATATCTATGTATATATATATATACACACCTAGGTAGATAGATAGATAGATAGATAGGTAGATAGATATAGATTGACATCTATAATATATATGTATATATACATAGTTTTTTTAGCTATTTATTTACATCTTCTAAGGCCAACGTCATGTCTTCCAAGACCCTCGCAACTCACCGTCATGATTCATCAAGGCTGTCTCACCATCTGCCTATCATCGCGACCCGCCATGTTTATGAGAGTATAGAACTTCCATCCGCCTAGGATCCAAGATCCAAGATTCTCAGGGGGCCCCGGTCGAGAGCATCTTGGCTCCCGATCCCAATGCGGCCTGTGGCTGTGGGATCCAAGATGCTCTTGACGAGACCCCCTGACAGTATGGGATCTTGGATCCTTGGCAGGTTTGAAAGTCAATCCCGGGATTGAAATTCCATCGCGGCTCGTACATGTATGTCTGTACTACAACTTTACTCAAATACTACTAACTGTCTGTCGACAGTCTTTTGCTGCCTGCCAGAACTGAGAAGTGATTGCATTCGGAGCTGTTTCAGTGGTGGGCTGTGAGGAGTGACGAGGATTTAGGGTTTAGGGTTTAGGTTTGGGTAGGGTTTAGGGTTTAGGGTTTACTTTAACCATCCTTATTGGTTAGGGAATTGGCTTTTCCGGGCAGCTCTTATGCAACATCGTTAATTCTGTGGTGCTGAGGGCACTCAATGTTTAGGAAATCCTGATTGCGTCCCAGGAAGAATTGTTTTAAACAATTACTCGAGTTGAGGCATTAATAGCCAGCAAATAAAGTTCAGGAATATGGTTTAGCTGTTAGGAAAAAAGGTTTAGCGCTTAGGATTGTTCAGGCCCAAACCAATAGGTTGCCGAAAGTGATGCCTGAGCAAAATGGAACAATGCTATCATTTATGCTTAGCGACGCTTCTTTGGTGGCTAGGAAAAGTGCGAGGTTTTGGAATAAGGTGTCAATCTAGCTTAGGCCTAAATATCAAATTAAGGGTACACCCCGCAGGATGCTTTCTAATCGTTTTCGTCGAAAGTGTGGGAATAGGGTCTGGGCCTTAGCCAAATTTAGCGGCGAGGGAACATGTAAGGTTTTGGACTTGGTTTCAGCCTAGACCTTCAACTAACTAACCGGGTTTGCAGGAATGGGGCTCCGGCCTAAGCATTAAGGGTACACCTTGAAGGCACCTGAAGCATGATTATTCCTACAGAATATTCGTTAGTGTGGGAATAGGGCCTGGGCTTTAGCGAAATTTCTTTGGGGAATAGGGCCGGGGCTTTAGCGAAATGCAAGCATGATTATTCCTACAGAATATTCGTTAGTGTGGGAATAGGGCCTGGGCTTTAGCGAAATTTCTTTGGGGAATAGGGTCGGGGCTTTAGCGAAATGCCTCTAGCGGCGAGGGAACATGTAAGTCTTGGACTAGGTTTCAGCCTAAACCTCCAACAAACAGGCCTTCGGCCTAAGCATTAAGGGTTCGCCCCGCAGGCACCTGAAGCATGACTATTCCTCACAATGTTCGTTGAAAGTATGAGAAGAGGGTCTGGGCTGTTCGTGGTGAGGGAAAGGTAAGGTTCTAGAACGGGTGTTAGCCTAAGCCGCCAACGACTCGGGCTAAGCGAATATTTTTGTAGTGGCAAGGGAAAATGTAAGGTTTTGGAATAGGTTTAAGATTCATTAAACCTCGACAAATAGGGTTTTTTCATGAATAGGACTTAGGCCTAAACACTAAGGTTACACCCCGCAGGCACCCGAAGAACTACTACTCCTAAACATTACTCGTGCAAGCCTTTTGGACAAGGGTCTGTGTCTAACTTTACACGAATTATGCGCATTTAGGGCAACTCGTTAATGCCATGTGGGACACTTGAAGGTTTGAGCCAAGGGCCTACTTGCCAGTTTCTGGGACAACTTTACGTACAGACGACGGTTTCACTTGGTGTTCAGATAATGTAGGGATGCAAGGGTGGTGAACTTCCGCTGCGCACGACCGCGGCGGGGAGGGGGTGGGGGCCACTATCAAAGTCTTCACACTGTTCTTACCGTGGGTTTAAAGGGGTAGCCAGATATGGCGCTTTCTTATCTCGCATGACACTGTCCTCATGGCGTTATTGCTTTTTCATTGCTTCCATTTCGGGGGCGGGGGATGTATATATATATATATACACATATATATATATATGTATACACACACATATATATATATATGTTTAGTATTTATTTGTTTATTTATTTATATTCATAAATATATATATTTACTTATTTATGTATTCTAGAGACTTAGAAAAACCCTTAATGGCCTCCTCCAGTCCTGGGCAGGCCTTGCCGGGCATTAGGCTCAGGGTTTCGAGGCCAGGGATGCCAGGCTTTTCGGGATTTGGGGTTTCGGGTCTAGGGATTTGGGGTTTAGGCTTTGGGGTTTAGGGTTTAGGGATTTGAGGTTTCGGGATTAGGGTCTAGGGCTTTGGGGTTTAGGCTTTGGGGTTTAGGGTTTAGGGATTTGGGGTTTAGGCTAGCTGGGAACAGTCGTGGTTCGTGTTTCATCTTCGGGACTTGAAACATCGGTAAGTCCCCCTTTCCCTCTGTCCCGAGTTTGGGTTTGGGGTTGGGGTTCAGGGTGTGGAGGCCTCGTTGAGTTTTTTGTTTGCGGTTTAGGGTTGTCGAGGGTTTCAAGGTCTCGAGGCTAACAGCTAGCTTGATGTGATTTAGGGGTGGGCCTTCTCAGGCCTTG